CTTTAAATGTATTGTGAAGCATTCAGGATTTTCAGGATTTATTCCTGTCTTCTCCTTTTCTTTTTTAAATACATTAGCTCCAATCGTTTCAGATCTATAGGAATACAAACTACCGAGCATCAGTTCACATTCATTCGCTGGAAACTTCAACAGTTCTCGTTCCTGCTTATTGAAGATGTTATGGGAAGAAGAAACAAAAGTCCGTGTTTAATGTTAACACTCACATTATCACCTGCAAATATGTCTTTCTTATTTGTCCGCCATTTTGGGGTCTACAATGGATAACTTGTTTGCACGTAACATTTTCCCCGAACAGCTGTCAAAGGGAAAGTGGTTCAGTTGTTCCAGAACCACATAAGAGACACTCTACAGATATTAGGTACTTCTCACAGAGTAAATTGACATCATATGAAGTTGTTTGCATTTTCAACATTCGCAGAGGAGTAAATATTGGCATATTTCTATGTTACCGTCATGCATTGTGGGTTAAATTTCTTTCCATACTGTACTTATAGAGAATGTACACGATCTAATCACTCGACTGACCAAAATGTATGCATCCATGTCTTAGAAAAGTCAGACTCAACTAGTCCAAAGTACACTAACTTTAACAGTTATTAAAATGGGAAATCAAATTTTACAGGCATTACCAGCTTCTGAAAGTGCAATGAATGAATTACAAAGCATATAAAAAAACAAAATATTAATCATCTCATTTACAATTTACTTTTTAAGTCCATGAAGTGAAAATAAGCAAGCTGAACTAGCATTTCTTTTTTTGAGTGCACATTTATCATTCATGCACCAAAACAAAAAAAAGTTCTTTTAATAATAAGATACATAAGGTGTTTTTCAAATGGACTGAGTAATCAGTACTCAAGTACTTTAAAAAAATGTAATGCTATGCAAGATACGAATTTGTAAAATCGCACAAAACTTCTTTCTTGGGCGATTGAGCCTCAAACCAAAATGAATTCTCTTAGTCCAATGAACTCTGAATATATATTATGTGTGTATGTATGTGTGTGTGTGTGTGTGTGTGTGTGTGTGTGTGTGTGTGTGTGTGTGATTACAAGATTCATCTATGCTTTCAATTCTGCTGATTAAATTGACTTTTTGTCTGGTACACTCAATATTGCCTCGTCGACCTTGGATAGACGACTTGTTGATGATCGAGATGATATACGTTGTACGCGACGGTTGCTATACATTATGAACCAGTTCTTTGGCAGATGCACAGGTGTGACGATATGCTGGACGTTGCGGGCTTCGATAGTTTGGATATCTCTGTCACAAATCCATACTTTGTCTTACGATCCGATGATGGTGTTATGGTGCGCCATCTTTTCTTTTGCCAAGTGCTTTATCATAATGTCATTGGACAAGTTTGCATTGGGTAGAATAGTTGGAATATCATCGTCTTCTTCATTTTTCTTAACTATATACAATTTTCATCACAATTCAACTTCTATATCGGTTATTTCCGTTTAATTCACTCAATATCTACATCCATCTTTTTGTCTCTTGCTTCCGTCATTTCTTGTACTGTTTTATAAATATCTTAAAAATGAGCAGGTCTCTTCAACGACATATGCCTACATAATGTTAAACATGAGCTGCTGTTTGGCACCAATAAAGACCCGCAACGCGGGCATAAAATAAAAAGACAAGCTTTGATGATATCCTAGTTAAGCTATTTAATAACCTTGGCCTTGGCCCATAACGCCCGTGCTTTTAGAGAATGTGACACAGTCCTCCAACGTATCCATTCTGATATGTTTGTTGTGGCATAACAATGCAGCAGATGCATAAATAGGTTGATAAATCAGCCCCCCCCCCCGGTAATGACATTGAGTTTTGGTTTTGGGGCTGATATGACCTTCTCATTAAAACTTGCAAAAATCCGCAACCAATTTTGGCTGCATGCATCGGTGTACATTTCATGCACTTACCGGTACGTCTCGCTACTGTGTACCTACCGTCGCTGAAAGGTTCTTTTGGTGACATGTATATTTCCGGAGAAAATCTGGTGTTTGGCGACTTAAATCCACGTGAAAATAGCACCGCCCGCACTTTTGTGTTCATTTTAAATTTCGCGCGAGATATGTATGTTACCAATTACCGGTATGTGTCTTTGGTGTACGCATGGTTTGTTCTGTGGGTTCCGATTGTGCGTTGAGATCCTTTAAATATGTGAATCGTTACGCAATTAGCAAGAAATACTTGCTATGCCGCTTTTTAAAAATGTTTGTGATAAAGTTCCTACTATTATAGATATGTCAGACCTGCTTGAAAACTTGCAAAGCTGCCATGGGTTCACTGCAAATTGGAACAGGGAAAATACACCCCAGATACAGAGCCTGAATTTGACATTTGAATAGAAAATTGAATCGTATCAAACTCTAATGGGCTTCTTCTCCCCCGCTTTGGACATATATATATATATATATATATATATATATATATATATATATATATATATATATATATATATATATATATATATATATATATATATATATATATATATATATATATATATATATATATATATATATATATATATATATATATATATATATATATATATATATATAAATTGTTAACAGAGCAGCAAATTTGCCAGGGAATTTATACAAAGCCACTGATTTATTGGGGGATAAATTTAGGTCAGCGTACCATGTTGCACATTTTTGGCCCTCTAGTACGGTCGCTGACTTTATTGGGTAATTAGCTGTTGTTTGTTTGTTTATTTGTTTGGTTTGTTTTGGGGTTTTTTTTTTTTTTGCATAACTAAATGTTTAATTGTGCCGCCGTCGATTTTGTTCATATAAGTGCCTTATCGTTAAAGAACTATCAGACTTGTTTGGAAAACTACACAGCTGGAAAGGGGTGAATGCATATTGGAACAACTTGAAAACATTTTTAGATATAGTGCTCAGATATGAAATTCGAATAGGTTAGGTATAGTGATTTATTAGACTTTTTGTTCCAGAGTTTTTACCTCAAAACTGACCAATGAATTTACACAAAGCCTAGCATTTTTTGAAGGAAGATATACATCACCTTCCTATTTTGCTCACTTTTGGTCTGTAATCTGAAGCACTAACTTAATAAAATGGAGTCGAAATCTATAAAACCCCGCTAGGATGAGAGCAAATATAAACAGTTTCAGTTGTCTTCCAGATGTAGAGCTCAAATGTTAAATTTGAACAGATGATTGAATTATTTGTACCTGTTCCAAGTTACCTGTCCAACTTTTTCGATTACTTTCTACCAGCCTTATGAGCTGAAACTTTGCCAATAAATGTACACAAAGGCTTGCATTTATTGGGAGAAAATTACATGTTATCTGAGTATTTTGCGTACTTTTGGGTAGTACTTTGAGGCGCTGATCATAGTGGGTCGCTACTTTAATACACTTGAATGCTTAGTCACATCGCGTTTTCACATTATTAAATGATACAGTTTCTTGTTGACGAATAAAAGTCGAAGTTCATTTTGAAATTAAAAGGCTGTGAATGAATGGAAATTGGAAAATCGTGATTGCATTTGTAGTTAGAAGCTCAAATGTAAAATTTTATTAGAAAATTGAAGTATCTTCATCATTTCTTTCTTAATTTATCCAATTTTTTCGACGCCTTATGGTAGATTTGTGAGCAAGAACATGGCAATGAATTTCCGCAATGTTCGCATTTATTATGAGTAAATATTACGTCCAGGGCTTTTTTGTGGATTCTTTTTTGGGCAGAAATATAAGGCGCTGACTATAGTGGGACACCAGGTTAGAATACTTTAACGCGTTTTATTCCACTATATTAATATATTTTGTGAAAAGTATCTGATTATTAAAGAAATGTTGAACTTGTCTGGAAAACCACAAAGTTGTGAGGTGGTGAATGTAAAATGAAACAGGCTGAAAACCCTTGAAGATACAGAACTCAGATTTGAAATTTGAATATAGAAAACTATATTGTCTAAAGCGTCACACACACTTACACACACACACACGCACACACACACACACGCACACACACATCTTCGGCTGTTTACACTAGATGTTCCAGGTTTATCCTAAACAATAACTATATCAAATTGCTAATTTATCCTGGCATAAATGTGATATAATGGTAAGTTGAATCGATCGTTCTCATTCTTTCATAAAGTAAGAGAATAAGCTGTCATAAAAGGTTGGCAAAAAGGCAAACATCTTTATCTTCAAATCACCTTCAACTACAGGTTAAAAGTGCATAAACCTAAAGCTTTGTTAAGATATATCGCACCTTTACACTTTAAACATAATGATTGTCGGCTTTCTGTTGTGCATGAATTTGAATAAAAATCATCAACTTTATCATGCTTAACACTGGCTCTATGCAGTTTACTTTTCCAAAGAGGAAAATGAAACAGAATATTGGTTTTAAGGTCAACTTGCTGCTTTAAAATAGGAATAACAATGTTTAGAAATTTGTTCTTTTATCTTATCATAGACTAACCTGGGTAACTTCTTCAGATTTTTTTTACTAAGAAAATAAATCAAAGTACTGAAGGACCAAATAAATGTGTTTGAAACTAAAAAAGATTCATTGCTGCCATTAATACCTTCCTTGCTATTTGCTTTTGAAAGACAGATCACAACATGACCATAATAACTGTAGTACAAGACTTTAACTCAGGTCACACGTAATATTAAGTTTAACGTTTGACCGTGAATGTAACAAGAGTGTAAGCAGAAGGTGCTGTTTTTTGAAAACTGATGGTGTGATGTGATATGATATAGATCTTTAATGTAGCTTTAATATTTTTTCAGTCATATCGCTAAGATGTCTGCAGTTTGATAGTTTGTAGTGATGTCTAGCACTGGGGCATCATGCCGCAGATATGTGGCATGATGTCCCACCCAGCCATTATTCTGACATCAGGCCGATCAGTCCCAACACTAACCTCTTAATGCTGAGCGCCAAGCGAGGCAGCTATTAGTACAATTTTGTGAAGTCTTTTGCATAACTCAGCCGGGTTTCGAACCCGCGATCTCCCGCATCAGAAGCGGACGCTCTAACCACTAGGCCCCGGAGCGGTTCTAAAAAGTGATGGCGTAGGGATGTGTACTAATACCTTATATTTTATGTGAAATTTAAGAATATCAAGAGAACGTTTAAACATAGTAAAGTCTACTTTACGTTTAATAGAAAGTGACCATACACAATCAATTAATTAAGATGTTATTTTTCTAAAACACGAAACTTTCAAACAAGAGAATACCTAATATTTATTACATCACTGAGCCACAGTAAGTACATTTACACTGTAAAATGCCAAACGAATAATACAGTCCTGCACACACAGTTAAAGTATTCATTAAACTATAAACAATATGACAGTAGAACCTACAAAGTCATTAAAATCTAAAATCAAAGTCTTTTTATTAAAACAATATTATACCATATTATACAAAATTATACCATATGAATCAACTTAATTTCACAGATATGTTCTCATGGTATTGTGAAAAATGGCATGATAATTGGCATCCCGGTTCTTTGCTTGTAAATGGTCATTTCTTTTCCAGGTGAACTGTTCAATGTAACTTTAAAACGTGGTTTGTAGCTACGGTACATAACTGACAATTTTGTGAAAAAAATCATTTTTTTTCCCCTCTAAGTTATAGACCACGGCCTTTGACTTTTTCGCCCAAAAATATATGGGAGGTTTTTCTTACCTGAAATGTACGCTATACCCAAAGTTTACTTTTAGTCTGTGATGTTCAACTAAAATGATAATGTGCAAAATCATTTTCCTTCCTTTAATCAAAGTGATCCTGACCTTTTGACCCCCAAAATATAGGAGTCTCACTCGCCTCAATGCAAGCAATCAACAAAGCTGAGAACTCGTGTTATTGCATAGAAGTCATTTTTCTTTTTTCATTTTAAGTGACATGGGCTGTGATTAAAAAATGTACAGGTTTCTTCCTCACAGCAACTGTAAACTATCCACAAAATCTGGTAACTGTAGATGTTGAACAATTAGAGTGATTGTGCATAAAAGTCATTTTTAACAAATAGAAGAACATAATAACATAAGGCAGGCGTATAAAAATTAGTAAAATAAAAGATTGAATCTTTTAACTGAAAATCACTATAAATTTTTAATGCACATGTTCTCATCTAAAAGAATATCACTGAGAACTACATAACCCTCACCAAAAGCGACCCAAAGTTTCGAAATCCGTTATATATATATATATATATATATATATATATATATATATATATATATATATATATATATATATATATATATATATTTGTTTACGAAAACAGTTTTCTATTGAATGTGTATAGACTGGACCTCTAGCCCCTTCCGGGGAATGGAAATTAAGATTAAAGCCCTTCTTGTGAATGGTTGCACATATTTCAAATCTGGTAAATTTCTTATTAGTAGTTTATGAGAAAATCGAAAAACACACAGACTGATAGACAGAACAATCGTTCACAATGTTGTCGATGATAAAGTATATACTGAATACTATATTAGTGCCTGAAAATGATGATACACCCTCTCGCAGCCCAAAAATGTACAAGTGCAAAATAATTAAAAATATTTTTCTTAAAATTGACTCAAGTAGATCATCTGCCTATGTATAGCAGCAAGTCCATCAGATTTAGTTTGTGTATGTCGAGTGGGTTTTCTTAGCAATCATGCAAAAAAATATGTTGTTTGTTTTTCAACCAAAATATCAAAGTAATATTAAAAAAGGAAAAACTTATCCAAAACACCAAAATTTCTGTGCGGATCTTTATTATAAATAATACGCAGCAAACAAGATTAGCAGAATATAAACGTATTATATTGACCTATGATACTGTACTGAACTACATCATAGTTGAAAAAGTACTATTAGTATATTTTCCAATATAACTAAAATTACAATAAATATTATAAAGAGAAAGTTTAGATAAATTAAATAAAAGCACTGTCATAAAGTCAGTCATATATAGATGAAAACTTGTTTTTAAACGCAATAACAATCCTACACGAAAATGTTGCTGCATGAGCTCCCCCCTCCCAAATTTGTTTTCAGTTAGTAATTGCATTATTTCTTAATAAATCAAAGTACTCTGACTCCGTTTAGCACTAATTAAATGAACTGCTTTGAAAATATTTCGCCATTAAATTGGCAATGAAAGAAAGTTTAAGATTATTTCATGTGTAACCATTTTACATAGCCCATTCAGAGCGGTCTAAAGCTCTCACTGTTACAGATCACTGTAGTCGCACCTCTGTCTCAAAAAATATAGGTACGTTAAAAAGCTTGCCAGAAGCTTCTCGTAGGTCGGTGGTTATTTCCGGGGTTTCCCTGGGTTCATTTTCCACCTTTTATACTGGCGCCCATGTATAGTCTATCTTGTACTGATAAATGGCGTTAAACCCCACAACAACAACGTAACCCATTATTTCAGGCAAAGTTGATGTTTGTTTCTTTGAATGAAGTTTTGATATCCTCACATATGAGAAATACCATATATTAAACAGATGTAAATGTTACATTTATATCAAAGACGATACTTAACACTTCACATGGTCTCAATCAACTTACACCCATGCTACGAGTATGATAAAAAAGGCAAAATAAATGTTTGCAAGACAGAAAACAACAGGAAAGGCCAGAGACAGACGGCTTTATGATGAAGCAAAATCCCGAGAAATAGTGAAACCAGATTTAGGATTATCTGAAAAGGACAACATACAGAATCGGCAATACCAGTCTGTTTAGACGAATGTGGACAAATGTGACCTGCTTGGCCAACACGGAGAACTATACTCTCTTTCACAATCCCGTTGCGCTATCATAAATAATGCTGCAGAAGGTAAGTCTTAAAATGTAACGACTCCCAAGAACCCGTCAGCAATGATATAATCTTGTTCATTAAACATTGGAAAGTACAAGGTGAACCTTTCATCCCAAATGACAACTTTATATTAATAAAGTTAATCTGGAGTTATGAATGCTAAAATTTCCTTTGCCCTTTCTATCAATGGAATTTGCCAGAATCCTTTCGAATGGTCGAACTTCATGACATATTTTGCATTTCCAACATTATCAATGCAGTCACTGATTCCTGGCAATGGAAAAGAATCTGTTTTGATCAAATTGTTCATTTTCTATAGTCAATGGACATGCAGAAAGTATTATTTGGTTTTAGCACAAGAATACATATTTAACTCCAGTCACTTTTGCTTGGTTTGGTTCTGTGAAATCATTTTGCAGGAAATATGGAATTTCTTTATTCAAACATTCCTGTTTGCGAGGGTTCATCCTGTACTGATGGTGTTGCACAGGCATTAACTCTACAATTTCAGTATCAAGGTGGATTTTATTTATGTTGGATCACCATGAAGCAAGTGCTCATATTTAAATAATAGCTGGTTTAGTTCACTCTTCTCTTGTAACTGCAGATGTGAAAGTTTCTAGTCTTGATTATTTAATATTTCTGAATTCCAAACATTGGTTAAACCAAAATCTCTACATTCTGATTTTATTCCATGAAATTAATCCACACAATATTGGAAAGGTATTATATGGCAGAATTGTTTTTGTTTATCCCTTTCACGAGTGTTTAAGAAATAAATTAATTCACCTACTTTCTTTTCAACTTCATAAGGACCATTGTATTCAACCTGATGAGGATTTTGAGGTCACCAGGATGAAAAGTCTTTTCCTTAGTATTTTTGTCATACCTTAATTTCACTTTTGACTGAGTGATTAGTTCTTGCTACTTCACAAGCCTTTGACAACTATATTTAAAATTGAAACAGTCAATAAGGATAATTTCTGAATCTTCAGTTGAAATAAGTTTCTCTTTCAATAACTTTAATGTTTCAAAGACAATATGTCCAAAAACTAGTTTAAAGAGACTAATAGCAAACAACAATAAACATTTTGTCCCCATCTTTCTGGTATCAAAGCAATATGAAAGAATCATATTTTTCAAAGTCAAATTAAATCTTTCTAAAGCCCCATGATATTCTGGGTAATTGGCATAATATTTAAATTGCTAAATGCCTAATTTCTGCATAAATTGCTAGAAAGTTCCTTAAACAAAATCTGACCTAAGGCCAAATTGTAAATATAACTAAAATCAAAGCTTTTACTATTGTTTTCCTTTTAACATTCCTCAAAAGGAATTGCCTCTGGGATGTACACATTCTGGTCAACATGTATTGGCTGCTTGAATGTCGTTTCTCACCTCGATTAGAATGAGGAGAGTAGTAAATATATGATCATTGTCATCACTCTCCTTTTGATTAATGAGTATGAGTAAAAGTGAAAGGAGTGAAAGTGACCTCATAAAAAGCCTGACCATTATGTGTATCAGTTAAATAAATAATTTCCTGGTCATCAGCTTTGTTTGCCATAGCTCCAGTTAACGCATAAGCTGGGTGTAAATCATTTCTTTCTTTTTTTCTCAATAGGACCAACTTTCTGATCCAAACAGGATTTGTCAGTTACAAGTGGATTAACAACAACCTTACCTCCAGCTAGATAACTGCTGGGTAAGAACATCACTGTTCCAACTGTCACAACTCATAATGCTAAGAGTGATGACAAATTTACACAATGGAAAGGAACATTAACAAAGCCACACTCCACTACTTGAATAAGAACAATTTTATTACAAGACTTATCAGAAAAAGGCAAAGTACTCTATAATAAAAGACTCGGAGAATCTCCTTGTCTGTTAAAGTTGAGTAGGGAAAGGATTCACAGAATCACTAATATATATAGAACCAATAGAAATGAATGGTTCATAATTTTCCATAATAAAATCAGACTGGGGTTTGTTAGACCCAACAAATGCATTGGTTTCAATACAAGACTGTGGTCCTGACCTCTTAGAAATAAGAGCATTTGAAACATCTCTATCTTGGTTATGTTGCTTATTTTCTGATCTGTAGCAATTAGAATAAAGTGCTCTTTCTTCTTGCAATAGGTATATGCACAAAGAGTTTGATCAGTCTAATCATAAACAGGTTTCATAAAAGTGCCAGATTTGGTAGTGCTCATATGAGACCAA